CTGTCATAAGAGGTCGGTCTTGTTATAGGCACCGTGATACTTGGGAGACAAGTGAGGGCCAGTGCAATGTGATGATGGAAACTATCTCATCCCAGGATTCGTGAGTATTCAGGTGTTGGTATCTTGTAAGCGCTTTAGATTTGGTGTCATCATAATCATACAAAAAGAGGCATGAACTCGCACGAACACCGTAGATAGCGATAGTGTGTTGCAAAGAACGAAAAGTATAACTCACGTGGACATCACAAACGTAAATCAGACACCGCCGAACCATCTCCATCAGGGGCTTTCACCCACTCACACTCTTCGCAGGAGGTTTCTTCCCACCACCATTATTATGGTGGTTGTGCTTGAAATCAGCTTCCTCCTTTTCGCATGCGCCTGCGACACGGCTTTCATACTGCTCGTAGTTGCTATGCGCTGGGTGCCATAAACTTTGCAGCAGTTTTCCTAGCGGGCTTGGGGCATCAGCACGCTGAACCGGATGTTATGATACAGCGAATGTACCTCAATGTCCAACGTCAACTCGTCTTCTTCCTCTTCTGAAGAATCAACTTTGTTCTTGGCCCACCTGATTTGCACTAAGTCTGATCCTCGTCTTCATCGATCTCAATATACTATCGTTTAGTACTTATTTTGCGGGCGGGACGGGACGAGGGAGTAGGCTTTTTGGTAGCAGAATTGGATAGTGGTTTGTTGCCAGTGTCGGTCTACCGATAATATGGATTTGGTGGATGGAACTGATGTAGACTTGTTGTTCAATGATATGGATTTGCTCGTAGCTGAGACGACTTTGTTGTTAGTACTCTGTCCAATTTTACTAGGGACGCTAGTAGGTTTGCTGAGTTTGGGTATGGTTTTGCTCGAGATGGCTGAAGTTGGTCTACTAGATTCTGGTACTGTGGATCCTGAACCCGAGCTTAATTATAATATTAATAACGCAGAAGAACTTGATGCAGATAGTGCTTCATCAAAAATCGTGTTCTCCGCACTCTCCTTTACGGGCACCTCGATTACAGCCTGAATGGGTCGGATTAGGTACTGCTTTGACTTGTCTCTGGAGGTCATGCGGCTCGTGGAAATGGGTGCGGGGAGTTGTTGTGTGGATATGGGTTTGGATGCTCTGAATGAGGGTTCGTCAGAAAGTTCGGAGGTATAGGGAGGGGACTTGGATGCGGGTGGGTCGCTTGAGGCAATTCCTTCAATCCTAAACTTACCGCGGTATCGTCTACCTTATCCGAGCCCCCAACAACCCTTGATCGCGCCCCGGATGATGAATCTAAGACGTTACTCCCTCCATTCAAATCGAGGATTTTGGCTCGTTTGCAGACATCAAAAATGAAGGGCATGCGATCATCCCATTTTCCAGACATCTTTCCTGAAAACAAGCCACTTTTCCTCATTCAGTCTGTCTCGCAGCCTGTGAAGCGACAGAGAAGAAGAACTGTTGATAGCGGACACATGGTTTCCTCTCTCGATCTGAAAGGCGATGGCCTATCGTGGAGCTTTATTGAGATCAGCGGCGTTTCATAAGGCAGCCCCCCCATCAGACTCCAACCATTCGGCAGGGGTGTTATCCTACATCCTAGCACAGCTTCATAATACATTGTACTTGTTTGCTTCGTCCAATTGAACTCCCGAAACTTTAATGCTGAGGATAACACCCCAAGCCGACTGGAGAACTTCGCTGTGGCTGAACGTTTGTTCTTATTTGTACTCACCGAGGACCGGTGTTCCTTACCAAAAATGTCTCACTGCGCGAATCACAGTGCGTCACATGAAGACGCGTCGTGTGCAAGGATGTCTGCAAACAATAACATCCCTTCGGTCGAGGAAATTCGGACTGCAGTAAAATCTACCTTTGGCTTCACTCCCTGCCCATGGCAAATTCAGTCTGCTCAGGCACAGCTTGCAAAGAAAGATGTCATTACCATATCACCCACTGGCTCCGGAAAGACACTGTGCTTTTGGATACCGTTGTTGTTTGATGACAATCGAATAATAATCTTGGTCACCCCCCTACGTAGCACTCACGAATGTGCTCTGTCGCTCTATGGTAGGTTGCGCCGTCTTGAAATCGATATCAAAATTGTCGTATGCGAATGCTGACTGCAGTGATCGGACAGCTTGCTTGATTCGGGACGAAATTTCATGAGACATGGAATTTACGGCGTGATGGATTGTTGTTACGCTGATTGAGAATCCAGCGTGAGCTAAGACCTCAATGACCTTTTGAGGGGTACCGGTCGAGTGAAGAAATATGCCGAGGATGCACTGCAAGTAATTGCAGAATTTGTTGGTGCTCTGCAGGAATATGCTGGTGCAAACTACCGCTTTCTTTCAAAAAAACAAGGTCAGTCTGTATGCTCCGAGAATGTACTCTTGTAACTGACAATCTGATATAACGCAGCTCTCCTTTCACCGGCCCTTTTTGCTCGACGACGGCGCTGCGCATTTTGACGCGAGTCTGTGCAGAATTGTCCGTTTCGCCCTCAGGCTGCCCTTCACTCCCACGTTCTGCGCTGGATATTTCATCATTATCCGTTTCATCGTCATCGCTGTGCATTTCATTCTCGTCCATGCCACCACCATCTGCCCGATACTGCCTGTCCCCCCCAAATTCCCCAAGGTCCATTTCTTCCTCTCCGTCTGGTTGCTCACCCTCCATATCGCAGTCTTCATCGACTGTAAGATTCTTCTTGCCCAGAAGAGCCATCATCATTGTCAACATATTCGGAGCAACTGATTTCACCTTTTCTGAGATAAAATTCATAAAGGTTCCCTCGAGCTGCTCAGATGTTGTACTCGTTGCTCGAAAACGGAGTCCGTGGCGCTCGTGAGCCAATTCCTTTATTTCATTGCACAGTTGAGTCCTGACTGTGACCATTGCCCATGACAAAACATGTGCTCGAGTTTTCGGGTGTTGATATAGGCTTTCGCACATGGTCTCCGCGTCTCGAATTATGTCTTCCTGAGCTGCGGAGTGCTCATGTTCACGGCTACTTAGCACACCTTCGAGGAAAGGCAAGATAGTGAGATTGTTCACTTGCAAAACTTGCAGAATTTCACTGATTCGAGCAGTGGTAGAACTCATTAGAGGCTGGGGTGTTGATTTGAATAAGAGTCTTATTATCATCTGAAACGCTGTTCAACATGCTGGATCCTCGTGTCCTTCGACGTGTATATCCTTCACTTTCTTACTCGACTCTTTTTAGCACCGATATACCGGTATTCCGGCGACTGTTAAGGCAAGCACGCAGTTTTTACGGTGAGTACAAATAAGAACAAACGTTCAGCCACAGCGAAGTTCTCCAGTCGGCTTGGGGTGTTATCCTCAGCATTAAAGTTTCGGGAGTTCAATTGGACGAAGCAAACAAGTACAGTATAGGACCGGCATTTGAGCCAGCACCGTCATTTGAGCCAAACAGCTACCACACACTCGATATTTGTTTATCGACCCATCGAATAGCGCAGATGTATCGGAAATACATAAATCTTGTATACTGTCGAGTAGAAATGAAAAAAAAAAATGCATGCATGCTACAGGTCAGAAACATGCCCTCTCTCAGCACCAATCAATGCAGCGAGAAGGAATTGTTCAATTATCAATGTCAGAAATCCTGCCAAATGAAAGATTTATATCCATAGTACAGTTTTGGTACAATAAAATAAGTCCAACACACAACGATGTGCTGCCACTGGGATTCCGGACGAGGGTCTCAAAATATGTTATCAAAATGTTTATCGGGGCAAGATAGTGAAACTAACCCAATTTGGACTTTCATTTCCGGACTCAAAAAACACTGTCCTGCAGTCACCCTTGGCTCGTATCCTGCGCGTCTCAGGGTAAGTTGGAAGCGCCGTTACCTAAACCGGTAGTTGCGGAGGGCACTGCAGGTGACGAGCTTGATGTCGACGAGGATGAGCGCGAGAATGCCAGTGACGAGGATGAAGAGGAGTAGTAACTAGCCTGAGGATCGTTACGGTACGATAATCGCTTAGATGGTACTCTCGCACTCTATAAATCTATATTAGGGCTGGCTCAACTGGTGAAAAAAACAGATATCAAGACATTCTACTGATCCACGCACTGTGCACGCATCACTCATTCGATTGCTCTGTAGCGTTGCGTTAGCATGGTCATCATATATTCAAACATGACTGCCAAATCAAAATTTTAATTTATGTACAGGTGTTTACTTGAGACGGTCAACAAAATTCACTGGCTCAAATGCCGGTCCTATACTGTACAATGTATTATGAAGCTGTGCTAGGATGTAGGATAACACCCCTGCCGAATGGTTGGAGTCTGCCCCCCCATGCGCTTAGTCATTTGCTTGTAACATAACCCTCTTCCACTCAAGTGGAGTCCGGGAACCGACTTGAACGCTACTTCACATATTTATTCCACATACACGCCATATCTATTCACCTGATGCATCATGCACAATGACCGGCTTCTTCCCTAGGTTTTTGCGTTACACTTACCCCGTGGTCTCGAGCTCCTGCAGCGCTCGAGCAAAGTACTCCACCCCCTCACCAGGTCCTCAACCTCCTCATCATTTCCTCAACCTCCTCGTCACTTTCACCAACACGCGCTGCCTTGTAAAATTGCGCCCCAAACCTGCCCGTCATCGTGTTCGCAACCCTCACCAACGCACGCTTAGTCTCGCTATCTGGCCAGTCCTTCAAATCAAAGTATAAGCGCGCGTACTGGAGGAGCCTATCGAAGCATTAACGTGCAAATTTGCATCAGTATGTCAATCTACAGTGCTAAGAGGTGTACGTACCACTCTGGTCGGACACCCGTGACGGTTCGTATATACGGCCTGTTCGTGACCAAGAACTCATTGAAAATTACCCACTTCGGCTGTGTGTCCAGTCTGCACGATGGATGCAGCACCACGGGCTACCACGAAGAAAATTCCCATCAGCACGCCAACCACAACTCCAAGCCAAGATAATATACCTGATTGTTCAAAGTCATGTAGTTCCTCTTTCCTCCCACCTTATGTGCAGCTTGCATGAAAAAGCCACAACACAACGCCTGCTTGATTGCCAGAGCCATTTCGCTCTGATCTTGCACGCTTACGAGGTCCACCTCAAACCGTCCCATCGTCCGTTCCAACTGCTCGCGCACGTTGACTGCTTGCAGTAGCGCTGGAGCGGAGAGGTAGTGAACCCATGTCCAGTTTTTGTCGTGTTGATCTGGGGTAGTTGTAAGCGAGTACGTACGTGTGTGTAGGAAGAAGAGACTTACTTTGAATGTACTCATTGTACACGTTCAGAAGCATTAGATGGTCGCCACCAGGGACGGTAAACAGCGCCTTCGCAGCATCCGCCTCTTCTCGCTTGTTACTTGGCCGTAGCCATACATTTGGCACTACAACGGTGTCAGACGGGAGTAAACCTCCGATATGGGTGCGCACCTGACAGCATCGCAGTGATCGTCAATATCTCGTTGCTACATTTAAACTCTGGGCTGACGATCAGCATCTTTGAGAGCTGAGAGCATGCGTCAGAACCGTCGGGACCAAACCCGCCACCAGGATAATCGCCTACCTGGGGATCCAGAGGGAATTCAGCCATGATGCTCCCAAGCGCCGTGAGGTTCCCATCATCATCCACTGCTGCAAGGTAATTCAATACCTCCAGTGCCCTTATCAACGACTCTGGCGCTGGTTCATCCAAATAATCAAACTGGACAAGATCCTACACAAGCATCAGCTTAGCTCAAAAAACGTCACCCCCACATTAAGCTCACCTTAATCCCTGCCTTGACAAGCATCAGCACCGTGCTCACTAAATTACTCCTCAAAATTTCTGGTTCCGTCTGCTCCTTGAACTCCGACATGAAGTTCTTCTTCGTGTACAACCTATAACATTTGCCCGGCCTCGTTCGCCCAGCACGGCCCGTGCGTTGCTGTGCCGACTCCTTGGAGATTGGGCTCACAAGCAAGCTCTCCACGCGAGTGCTCGGGTTGTACACCTTCTGCTTGGAAAACCCCGGGTCCACGACATACACAATCCCATCGATCGTCAATGACGACTCCGCGATATTCGTGCTCACCACGACCTTGCGTCCTGGTGGGCCAGACGGACTGCCTGCCTTGGGCGGTGGATCGAAGATGCGCTGCTGCTGTTGAGGTGGTAACCAGGAGTACAACGGGATGCACTCGAGAGGGCCTACGGTCTCGGGGTAGGAGTCGATGAGGTCTTCCACCTTGAGCTTGATCCTATGGCAGGCATCCTCTATCTCCTCCTCACCCGTCAGGAATACCAAGATATCTCCTGGTTTCTCTGTGCAATGGATCTTGAGTACAAGATGGATGGCGGACTTGACATAGTCCGACACCGAATCCTGGATGTAGAATACTTCGACGGGGTGAGTGCGGCCGGGAACCTTGAAGAGCGGGGGAAGGGCGCCGCCAGAGGCAGCGAAGTATTCCTGGAACTTGAGAGCGTCCAGGGTGGCGGACATGATGATGAGCTTCAGATCTGGGCGACGGCGAGCGAGTGTTTTGAGAACCCCCATGAGGATATCAGTAGCAAGGGTGCGTTCGTGAGCATCGTCGACGATGATAGTGGAGTAGCGGCTGAGATCAGGATCGTGCATGGCTTCGCGCAGGAGTATCCCGTCGGTCATGTATTTGAGGAAGGTGGTGCCGGGCTCGGTCATGTCTTCGAAACGTATCGAGTAACCGACTTGTTTGCCGAGTTGGACTAGGTGATAAAGTGAGCTCGGAGTGAGATCAGAGTAATGAAACAAACGGACCGTCCATCTCATCTGCCACGCGTTCCGCTACAGCCGTGGTAGCGACTCTGCGGGTCTGAGTGCATGCCACGATCTTGTTCTTGGTGTGCGGAAGATCTGAGTAGGCGACGAACTGCGGTATTCTATCGATGACAAAAGGAGTCTATGATAAGCGACTATCCAAAAAGACAAGGGAGCATGTGTCAAGGGATGCTAACTTACTGCGTGGTCTTGCCTGAGCCGGTCTCGCCGATCATGATGATGATTTGGTGTTTGTTGAACTGCGAACGTCAGAGTGAATGGTGTGAGGTATGCATAAAACTAACTATCTTATAGAACTCAGCCATATGTGCAAACACGGGAAGCGTTTTGCGGCCTTCAAGAATCTTTTTGTATTGCGCAGTATGAGGCTGATTTGTAAACGGGTTTATATCGTGTTCCTAAGTGGATCTCCGAGTCAGCCAGCCCCGACGTAGCTCGATTATTGAGATCATACCAATGCAAGGTAAACTTGATCTGCGGTGGCTTCTCCGGGAAGATAACCAAAGTTCCTCGAGGCACTGGCACCATCGAGAGTGCTTGAAGCAGCTCGTTCTCGGTCTGCGGCGACCTCTCGCAGAACAGCGGCAAAGAGAGGCTCCCTAGGGGATGCACTGGCACCATCTAGAGTGCTTGAAGGAGCTTGCCCTCGATCGACGAGATCACGATGTGGGTCCTCTTTCGGTGTCTCAGTCTTTTGGGGGGGAGGAGAGATTTCATCGTCCGTACTCCCGGTCCTTTCAAAGGATCTCAGGATTACAATCAAAGTCGTTTATTAATCCTTTACCATATGAAGTCCCACAATTTCTTGATCAGTTCTGTCATAAGAGATCGGTCTTGTTATAGACACTGTGACGCTTTGGGAGATAAGTGAGGGCAAGTGCAATGTGATGATGGACACTTTTATCTCATCCAAGGATTCGTGGGCATTCGTGTATTGGTATCTTGTAAACGCTTTAGATTTGGTGTCATCATAATCATACAAAACGAGGCATCAGCTCGCACGAGCATCTAGATAGCGATAATTTCATATGGAAATTCCGAGGCTAGAAGAACAAAGGGTGTGTTGCAAAGAATAAGAAGCATAAGTCACGTGGATATCACAAACGTAAGTCAGACAAACCCTCTGGCGAACCACTGGCAGGGGCTTTCACCCGCGCACACTCTTCGCAGGAGGTTTCTTCCCACCGCCCGATATTATGGCAGTCGTGCTTGAAATCAGCTTCCTCTTTTTCGCCGGCGCCTGCGACACGGCTTTCATACTGCTCGTAGCTGCTATGCGCTTGGTACCATAAATTTCGCGGCGGTTTTCCTGGCGGGCGTAAGCGTCAGCATGCTGATACAAATGTTCACGACAGAGGGAATATACTTCTGCGCCCAGCGTCAGCTCGTCTTCTTCCTCTTCTGAAGAATCAACTTCGTCCTCGGCAGTCGCATCACTACCTGACTTGCACTGCTCTGATATCCTATCTTCTCCATCCTTGTCTTCATCAATCTCGATATACTGTCGTTTAGTGCTTATTTTTCGGGCGGGACGGGACGAGGAGCTGGTAGCAATATTGGATAGTGGTTTGTTGCCAGTCCCGGAGAGTGTGGGTTTACCAGGTCTTACTGTAGATTTGGACGGTGGTAGGGCGGACTTGGTGGATGCTGCCGATATAGGCTTGTTGTTCAGTGATGTGGATTTGCTGGTAGCTGAGACAATATTGTTGACACCTTGTCCAGTTTTACTAGGGGCACTGGTAGGTTTGCTGAGTTTGGGTATGATTTTGCTCGAGATGGCTGAAGTTGGTCTACTAGATCCTGGTACTGTGGATCCTGAATCCGAGCTTGATAATGACGCAGAAGAACTTGATGCAAACGGTGTTTCATCAGAAATCGTGTTCTCCACGCTCTCCTCCTTTACGGGCACCTCGATTACCGCCTGAACGCGTCGGATTAGGTACTGCTTTGACTTGTCTCCGGAGGCCCTGCGATTCGCAGAAATGGGGGTGGGGAGTTGTTGTGTGGATATGGATTTGGGTGCCTTGGATGACGACGTAGATATGGATTCGTCAGGAAGTTCGGAGGTATAGGGAGGGAAACGGTGACGTGTGGATGCGGATGGATCGCTAAGACTTGTGCTTGCGGTTGTGTTGGGGTAACGAAGCATTGTCGTGAATGGAGTGATAGATGCATGCGTCTGGACAGAATGCTGTTGCGTGAACGTCAGATTTGAGGTTCAAGAAATGAGAGTGGTCCGCACAGAAAGCTGCTCTTCAATAAGCTCATCCACACGCGTTGCGAGCTTGTAGCGCTCCTGTTCAACGCGTAGGAATTGCTCCTTCCAGCTGGTGGCTTCCTGGCGCGATGTGTCTTCGAGACGGAGGCACTGTTGTTTCCATTGCTCGGACTCGTAGCGAAGTTGAGCAATCGTCTCTGCATGGTGTTTTATCTGCATACAAATTTCAGCATCTCTACGCTATCAAAGTGATGGGCGTACAGTCAACTCGGCTTGCTCAACCTGTGTCAGGGGGCAAGGTTAAATAAGGTGAATGTGCAAACATCGATGAGGACATACAGCGGACTGTCGGGCACCAGCCTCTTGCTTCCACGCCTGCTCCTCAAGCCTAAGCTCATGGAGAGCCTTAACGGCTTCATCCCGCTCGTGACGCGCTTCCCGTGCTTCAGCACATGCTTGTGTGACTTCTTGACGCGTTTGATCCTGTAAGCTCGTGAACTACGCAAGTCAATGAATTTCGAAGAGCATTGAAGAGGAAGATGAGCTTACTGCTATGTTTACTGCTTTATTCAGAGATGCGAGTGCATCTGTAAGTATGACGGACGGCGGGGAGTTTGTTGTCATCTAGTTGCAAATCTGGTGAGAGCAAGATGCACCTCCGGCAGTTCCCGATTCAAAAAGGTTTAACTTCAACGCGTGCCACAACCGCACAATTCAAAAGTGCTGTGAAACAACTTGAAGAAATTCGAAAGCCAGTTGTCTTTCAATTATTTATACCTGCAATGCGTGCAGACCGCTACTTGTTGTCTTTGTGTTGTCCGCAGGTACTGGCACTGGTGCCAATCGTGACTCCGAGTCTTTACGATTTCCATGAACTCTCCTCCTTTTGCCAGGTCCATACATTCGCAAGGAGTCCAGAGTTCACATGTGCACATGCTTGCCAGTATGTAGCCTACTTCAGCAGCACTCCCTCCCAAGTACCCATTTTTGTACACACCGCAACGCATCGCCTCTTGATTAGTTCATTCACCTTGCATTCACGTCTCTTTTTTCCTCGTCCTTTCTAGTTTATTTCCTGCTGGACGCTCCCAGGTACCTTGATTACTCTATTCGCAGGGGAGTATGACGAATTGCGGTGGAATATCTAGCCGTTCGAAAGTTATTCAAGCAGCACCACGAAGAGAGACCGGAACTTGGAACATGCCGTCACCCAGAATGTGTGGTAGCATTCCTCGAACAACTACATACATTCTTAGCTAGGTATGTGCACAATGTTAGTTCTGTTTATTTTCACACTGCGATATGTTCCTGCGGTGGACAATGTGTATAGCACTCATCCCCAAGTGATTGACTGGGTCACTGACTACTGTACATATTGTCTACTGTAATCATGATATGATGTTTTAGCTTTGCTTCAAGATGTGTCATGGCCATCCTTACCAGAGTACCACCAAAGTCGGCAGTTTTTCGTCACGTGAAGCACACTAGCTGACCCTTTATTAGGAGGGATGATCTCTCAGGTTTTTCTCGGGGAGAATAGTTGACCTAAATTTGCACGCACTTGCACTAGTAACTTTGGAATCACCGCGCACCCTTAACTATTGTGAGGGTCGTCTACGCCGGTTTGGTGACCTCGACACGTGAATATCATAAGTAGGGGCTTCTTTCATCATCGTCCGCTGCTCACTGAATCTTTTATTGCAAATGCCAGATAATCTTTCCTTCTACAGTCAAGATGGAAAGTGTCCTTCCTTTCAAAAGTCCAGGGATGCTATGTCATCTCGATATTCGCTGTTGATTTATCTCTTGGACATGACTTGGTTCCACCCCCCCGCACCGGCCACTCTTGCGCATGGCAACCGTTGCGCTGAGGGGAATTAGAATACTACATGTGGCCATGTACGCTACTTTCAGCTCAGGTATGTACTTAATGTCTCGATGGTAATCAAGGAAGAAGGTCAAGCGAATGTCGGTGACCTACTCCCGACGACCTGCCCATGTGCTTCGAGTGGAGCTCGATCTGGCATCTAACCCTTCTCCCGATGTATAAAAGTGAGTAGAAATTCTTGAAATTCTGCATCTGAAGTTACATCAAATAGCTCTTACACAATGAAATCCGTACTCGCTGCTCTTATCTCTGCCCTTGCCCTCCCAGCGTTTGCAGTACCCGCAAATGTTACATACGACCCTATGTACACCAACCCCAATTCGTCCCTCGCTGCTGTCTCGTGTTCTGGCGGTTCGAACGGTCTTTTGACCAAGGGGTATACCACCTTCGGCTCCATTCCTTCATTCCCCAACATCGGAGGTATTCCAGGTGCCATCTGGAACTCCACCTTGTGCGGCACCTGCTGGAGCCTCCAATACACTGCGTCCTACGGCGTCCAAACTACCATCTTCATCACTGCCGTCGATGCTGCTTACACATTCAACGTCTCCCCGCAGGCATTCAATGAGTTGAATAATGGCACCGGCTTTGAGTCCGGCAAAATTGCTGCCGAAGCCATTCAGGTCGCCGCGAGCAACTGTGGCATGTAGTGGCATGTACGTTCATCTTTGATGTTCTGCAAGATTCAAGTTCTGATTCAACGTGAGTCTAGGCAATTACCCTAGAGGGTTTTCTGGTGTGCTGGAAACAGTTGAAAGTATCGAACAAGAGGTTCTTGGGAATTGGTCGGAGCAACTTGTATGTTGTGGTTCGTTATTCAGAAGTATGTGCGATGTAATTTTTTCGGGAAAGTAGTTACTCGACGAGTAGCCCAGTGGGTTATAGCAAACCAGATAGTAGTAAACTCCCTAGCTGGGGCCTACAGTGGTTCGAGCTCCAATGCATTTGGCTTGATAGTACGAGATACTTCTTCGTGGTGCCTCGGCTCTGATTTCAGCGCGACGAAGCCCTGGAAAAAACTGGCTGATACGAGGTTTCTGGTGCAATACCGTCTGGACTCCTGGCAGCTGGCGGACATTTCCCATCGCGATATTAATGTGTAGGCTCGTGACCGGCTTGTGCACTATGGACAAGTCAAGTGGCGACGCCAAGTGAGGAATATCCGAAATTGGGATCCAGGCAGAAAGGAGCTATGTCATCCTAAATAAGCAGCTCAGTCCATTCATTGTGCTAGCTCCCTGTTCAACCTGAAATATTCACTGACTTCTTGCACCTGTCTTGCTCGCGTGGACGCCCAGCCTATGAACACATGGTTAGACCTCTCAGCGGGCTCTAATCACAATATTAATATTAATCCCACCCCTGGCAGACGTGTGACAGGTGACGTGTGACACCTGTATCGATCCAATGCCAGACCATATTCAACATTGTCGTGGAGTTTGAAATTTGAATTCTGCCAGTGGTGCCCTCATTGCCTTCGCATTCGATAACAAGCACGTTCGCCTCTGGGCTAACGAGCCATCGCTATATCCGTATTCCAGCAGTCTCAGGCTGGTTGAGCGAACTACACCACCTTCCCGGGACCCTACTATGGATGGGTCATCAGATTTATCATGGCAGGCACACCGGTCACTGTCCGACGATAAAATTTAGTACATAAGTTTCCTTACTGAAAACGCGGTGGCGGTCTTGGGACTTGATGCTGGCTATTGACCCTTGGCCAGACTCCAGAGACCCTCCCCGTCGGCCGACTACTACTTATGAACCGCACTTGCATCGTACGGTGCTGATCAATGATTGGTCAACTTCTTCGCTCACTTGCCCTGAGTCCGGTCGTCCGTCGAAGTCCGATTTTTCAAACTTTTCGATCAAAAACCACTGCATTCACGCGTCATACGTTACCTCCGAAACAGTCCACCCAAGTCGGAAAACTGAACTATTCCCTTTCATGGTTTCCCTATACACCAAAACGAAGGAATGCAGTTTGCTATATTTATAGTAGGCTTCTGGGAAACACAGAATCCTTCAAAGTGCAGTATGGATGCTCTTATGCTAACGGTAACGGAGACTGCGTCGTGTCAAGACGCCGTCTGTAGACTGCTTACTACGGCGTGTGCAATTGTTGCTCATAACGTCATATTTTGCGTTCGTTTGACTTGACCTTCGTGGAGTGGACCAGTTAGTAAGTTGGCATTGTTACGCGCATACTCAGGTACTGGGGACTTCGGTAACTGGGCTCAGCTAGGCGTCGGTTGGTAGTGGCTCACTCGCTGCCAGTGGTGGGAACTTTTAGGATCGTCACTGCGTGGATTTTGGGCGAATTAAGGACTTCTTTCATCAGATGACCTGGAGATCATTTCCACCTTGAAATTTGCAGTCGACTTGTCTCTTGACTCTATCCTGATCTCGTTGCACTCGTGCCGGCCCTCCTTGCATTGCGCTTATCCGGGGAATATGATACCGTGCATTGGACACCTGCGCTACTTTCAGCTCGGGTACGTGCTTAATGTCTCGAGGGTAAATCAAGACAAATGTCGGTGACCTCCTACCGACTTCTGTCCGTGAGCATCGAGTAGAGCTCGCTCTGGTGTCCAATGTTTTGCCCGACGTATAAAAGCGAATAGAAGATGTTGAAACTCTATCATCTCAATCACTGCGATATTCACATCAAACAGCTCTTGCCCAATGACGGTTGAGCACAGGCTTATAGCTGGGTGCTCTTGTACGTACTGATCTTGTGTACTAACGTTGTGGTTTGTTGTTCGATGAGTAGCATATTCATGTAACGTGTCGTCAGAGTGATGTCATGCCCAGTCTCTCTGTCCATACGAACCACCGTTCTCCTGTAGTTATTTCTCATGGCACCACCGTATCTCATAACGCTGAACAAAATACCCGGCATCGACCGTCATGAGCTTCAGAAGCTGGCGCGGAAGGAGGGCAGTGGCATCACAGACGAAGCCCTGACCTTCAAGAAGCCTTCCAGACCGTCGTTCGGCCACCCACTACGAACTACAATATTCACGACGATTATATAAAGCATCCCCCAGAAGTATGCGGCCATGACATCGTTCGCGTCAGTAACTATATTGAACTACAAGTGTCGTTCACAGAACGTTTCCCTGGTGCCGATGGAAAGTGTAAATTTGGCAAAAAAGAGGGCTCATTCAAACCTAGCCGATGGAGATAGGTGAGGACTGGGCCAAAGCAGGCAGACATTCAGGATGGGGTTCTTTGCAAATCCTTACTCCATCAGTGATTCCAAACAGCGTAGACGCGTATTTTGTGTTTTTTTGGGCTGAACTTCTGAAGCATGCCATTAGCTGATGCATAATCGCCATCATGTAAAGTTATATGCAAGATGTGATAAATACTCAAGGAGTGTGCTCAAGTTGAATATTTTGCTATGGTACACGGTTTTACATGAGTTTCACGTTCCCGTCACTACCTTTCCTCAACTTGCGTCCTGTAGCAAATAGGATGCCATCCAGTAGTGCAGCCACGGTGAGAACACCTCCGACGATAGCGCAAGTACTATAAAGAATAAAATGAGAGATTCAGGCTGGATACATTGTCACTTACGAAGTGAGGAAGTGTGCAAACGACTGCCTCGTTTCAGAGTGCACGACAAGGATGGGTGAAATTTCAAAGTTGAAGTACGCGCCTGAAAGCGTCAAAACATAGATGAGTAAGCCATGCTTTCAGCATACCTGGTGAGCCCGCAACGCCGTGTTGAGTGAAAATGCCTTGCTTGTTCTCGCCTTCATTAAACTTCGTCAGATCACGTTCAAATTGTGTTGAACTGTATTGGTGCGTGTTGATCTGCATTATTCGGCAATTAATTTGTGCGACCAGTTTGATTCATGTACTCACAGTCTTGCCTTCCAGCATGCGGAATTGTGTTGATACGACTTTGAGGAAATACTGATACATGTACGCCGACTTGGTCGTCTGCGATTATG